TCAAACTTGGCAACTTTAAGATGTGTGGACTTCAACTCCCAGAATTCTCCAGCCAGCCATGCTGGCTGGGGAATTCTAGAAGTTGAAGTCCACACATCTTAAAGTTGCCAAGTTTGAGAAACACTGCTGTAGACAGTGGGAGCCATTGTTTGCTGCATCTGAAAAGCAACAGGTTAGAGAAATTTGTTAAACAATTTGGTTGCTGCACTCCAGAAAGGATACTCTGGAGCTGGAAAAGATTTGGAGCTAAAGCTAAAGTTTTCCTCTTGGAGGGAAACAGGGATGGGAGTTTTCTAGAAAATTTTGAATTGGAAAATGTTCTGGCGAATTGCTTGTACACATTAAATTAATTTGCAACAAATAGTCCTTATTTCCCTCTCACTTATTCCTACATTATCCCTCACAAACGACTAGACTGCAAAGAGTGTTTTGAGAATGAAATAATATAGTACATTACATTTTGCAGACTGAAACAATAATGTTCCTTTAATAATGCATTATTACTTCCTTGAAATATATAGCTAGTCTAAAATATATTGTTATTATTCCCTACCCACACCTCAGTTATGGCTCTCTTGACCCTGCACTGAGTGATAAAACAGTGTGTTTTTTAAATTATTCAGAGAAAAATGGGTAAGCAGAAAACAGGTTGAATATATGCAAAATTATGCATAATGTAGAGTGTTTCATCTAGCCAACTAATGGGCTTCCCACAGCCACCTAGCTGACCATTGTAGGAAATCAAACTAGTTGGGCTGTTGCTATATTCCAGTAGGAGTGACCTTATCTTTAGGCCTTGGATCTTTCCCTGTTCTTCTATATGAAATACCCTTAATCTACATACACTTGCCTAGTATATGTATATGTGATATATTTGATTTTAGCTTAATGTATCAGGTGAGCCTGACCTGTGGCTTATAAACTTTAGATTATGGCTCACAGTGTTGTGTTAATCTAATCAGCTTTAATATATTCAGTCAAACTTGATTAAGCAGACCTTGGCTTAGAACAATGAGCAAACTAGATTTCTATGTGAATTCAATATTACCTCCTGTCTTTCTTCCACCTAGTCTCTCCGTATTATCGGACAAAATTACGTGGCCTCTATACAACAGCTAAGGCTGATGCAGAAGCTGAATGCAAGTGAGTGTATCTAAATTGTATGCTTCTGATAAGAGAAGGTGACTTGTTTTCATTACTCTTGTTGCTTCTTTGCCCTCTTTACCCAGTATCCTGCGCAAGGACTTGGACAAGATTGCTGAGATTAAGTCTCTTCTGGAAGAACGACGCATTGGTGAGCGCTGCAAAGCTCTGAATAAGGAAGAGCAAATATGATGCTTGAACTATTGTAAATAAGTTGGGTGCTATCCCCAGATTTAAAAGGTTTTAATTATTCAAGGAGCCTAAAAAAAGGATGCATATGAATTTTTTGTGTGAACTTGTCTTCTGTTAATACAGGTGGTCCTCGAGTTACAACAACAATTGGGATCAGAATTTCCATTGCTAAGCGATGCAGTCGTAAAGCAAAACTGCATCGCTTAGCAACAGCAATCCTGCAGTTCCATTTGCTGTCATTAACTGAATTGCAGCAGTCGTTAGGCAAGGACCTCCTCACAACTTCCTGCTGGCTTTCCACAACCAAAGTCAGTGGGGAAGCCAGCAAGAAGTTGCAAGTCCCAGGCAGCAGGCTGGCAGGTAGGTAAGTAGCTACTGCCAGCTGGGGGAAGGCACGCAGGCGTGCGCAGGTGGCTGGAATGGTGCAGCGTAAGCACGGAGAGGCTTGGGTGGTTGCTGCCAGGTGGGGGAGGGGGTGCACAAGGGTGCAAGGGAGGTGCAGTGAGGCTCAGGGCGGGTGCCTGGGGGTGCGCAAATGGTGCGGTGCAAACGCAGAGGGGCTGGGGGAGACTTCCTCAGCGATCTGCAACCTTCCCTGCCGGCTTCCCCATTGATTTCTGGGGAAGCTGGCAGGGAAGGTCACAAATGGCAATCGTGATCACAGGGCACTGCAACTGGTTGTAATTGTGAGCCGGTTGCCAAGTGCCCAGATCGCGATCACATGACTACAGGGCTGCTGGGATAGCCAGAACTCTGAGGACCAGTCGTAACCGCCATTCATTCAGTGCTGTCGTAACTTTGAACAGTTACTGAACTAATGGTCGTAAGTCAAGGACTACCTCTAGTTAAGTCTAGTGCTGCCAGATCTGGGCTGCAAACATCCAGTCAAGCTTTAGATGATAGCAAATAGATACAGAACACTTTAATGCTTTGCTGCCATCTAGTGGTCATCTGTGTTTTTGTAGCTCAGTTCTGGTAACCCTAATCAGGTTGTGCCAGAAAAAAAATGGAATAAGAATCCTTTGCTCCTTCCAAGAAGTAGGTAGAAAAATTGGGGAAAGATGAAGCATTATTTTGATGAGAGTAATAGGCTTGTGTTGCTGGGTTAAAAAAATCACTCTAAGCCAATGTTTGTCTTAAGTATATTTTAGGAACAAGCCCCAGTGGCCTGATTCACGGCAAACCAAACTAAATATTTGCATATTTAACAAACAGTATGTAAACCCAAACAGATCCTGCTTAGGTTGGGGAGAGGTGCTGAGGACTTCAGATTACAAGGCATTCTTCTTGAATGGCTCGTCCTGCAGCTCTTTTATCCCATTTCCTAATAGGAAATTGCACTGGGCTGCCTTCCATTCAGTTAAGCATCTGCTGATCTGGCCAAGAATGCTCTACAGTTCCCAGAAATTCTAGCCTAAATTGGGCAGAAAGTTTCGGACTGTGCATCAGAGTGGCAGTGAGTGAAGATGAGAGTTTATAAGTGAAAGTGGAAATTCTGTCCCAGGATTTGGAACTTACTCCTGAGAGGATCAAGGATACACTTGTGGTATACTTAGAAGAAATTCACTGCCATAAGCTGGCTTCTGCCGGGAGTGTGCAGTACATAAATGAAGACAAACTGAGAAATCTGATATATAAATACATTCACAATTCTCTGTGACAAGGGAATGAAAAGTCTTTGCTACCTTAGCTCTTCTTTTTTTACTTCTGTATTAGGTTTATATCCCTCCTTTCATTCAAGACCTCAAGTTAGCCTACACAGTGCTCCCTCCTCCTCTTCTTTATTGTCATAGAGCATAAAGTTACTGTGTTCTTGATATGGAAGTGAATACAGCTGACAGGTCCATCTGAAGGCCAGGAGGCTGCCTGCAAAATTTACTCCCTTGGTGCAGTGGAACTGTTGTTTTCTAAGCTTAAACCATAAGGCTAGTTTTGACTTGGATTTTTTTTGTCTTCCATTGGTTAAGACACTTGCATCCCTAATGATTTGTTACATATAGCCAAACTTTTCTGATCTGCTTCCCTCTCTTCGCACAGCTGCCAAGATTGCTGGCCTCTACAATGACTCAGAGCCGCCACGCAAAACCATGCGCCGTGGAGTGCTGATGACTCTCCTCCAGCAGAGCGCCATGACTCTCCCGTTGTGGATTGGGAAGCCTGGAGAAAAGTAATTGCTAGGAAGGTGTGGTGGGTTCTGAGAATGTGAGGTCATTCTTCAGCCATGGGTTAGGCCCTTTTGTCTGGTTTCTCGTGCAGGCCGCCTCCCCTTTGTGGTGCCATCCCCGCCTCTAGTGATTATGTGGCCAAACCTGGGGATAAAGTGGCAGCTCGTGTCAAGGCTGTTGACGGGGATGAGCAGTGGATCTTGGCTGAGGCTGTGAGCTACAATCATGCCACCAACAAGTGAGTATACTTGGGACCATGAGAGCGACATAGAGGGTCTTCAGGTTGCCTTTTACTTTAATGGATAGTGTTTTGCTAATGAAGAACAACGGTTGATTGTCTTGAAAACAATCATTTGGAAGTATGTAGATACGGTAGGTGAGGGCCAGCTTGGTCTAATGATTAAGGTGCTGGACCAGGAGTTCTGGTCCTGCCTTAGCACAAAAGCCAACTGAGTGACTTTGGGCCAGTCTCTCTGTCCTAGGAGGAAGGCAATGGCAAACCACTTCCAAAAATGTGGCTTAGAAAACTGAGTGGACTTTTCCGTGTAGTCGCCTGGAGTCTAGATTGATATGAAGGCCATATCTGAATGTGTGTGTGTAAAAATTTTTAAAATCAGGCTGTCCTACTTAACATAGCTAAAAAAATTGTGCCACGCAAAGTCCAGAGGGCTTGTCCAGAGTTGAAAGAGAATAAACCTGGCGAAACTCTGTGTGAATGTGTATTTGCATGGTGTATATTGGGACGCAGTAGCACAGGGGCTTAACGATGCTGGAGCTTGCTGGCCAGAAATGGTCAGCACTCCAGCAGTTCAAGCCTGCTCTGCATGATGGGGTGAGCTCCCGTCACTCGCCCCAGCTTCTGCCAGCCTAGCAGTTCAAAAGCAATCCCATCTGCGAGTAGATAAATAGGTACTCCCATTTTGGTGGGAGGAACTGGCAGCACCTGTGCGGGGAAGCTGGAACCGGTGCTGGATCTGATCAGCTGAAAGAAGAAATGCTGGACACAACTAATGCGACAGGCGAAAAGATTGTCGGTGGAAGAAAGCCCAGATGAGCTGACTCCCTTGCGACCGCTGCCGGCCACAATAGAATAGGGTTGCACTGTAGTTGTATTAGAATAGGTGTAATTGTAATTGTAATGGTTAAGGTGTACTTTTGAGCTGCCCAAAGTTCCCCATTGGGGGAGATGAGCAGAGATAAATCCGAAATGTAAGGTAATGTAAATGTAATATTCATGTGCTTCTTGTCTGTTGAGCCTAAACTGCTGCATGAATATGGTCCAAAAGTGTTTCCTGTCTGAGAAGTCAGTAGTGTGTTGGATTGATTTTGAAAACATAGCAGAAGGATTTTTTTAACGGGAAAAAAGTAATCACAGATCTACTAGTGCACAGGTTCATACATCATCCCAGTGCTTTTCTTGTGCAGCCTTCAATGTTGTCCTTCAACTACCACCACTTTCAGAAGTTGAAATGTAATGGTCCTAAGACAAGACGAGAGGGGAGAGGGCAGAAAACGGACAATAAGTAGGCCAACTGGTTAAAGTTATTGATTTTCTGGGGTCCTTTTTAGTCAGGGACCCAGATTTTCTTAATCTAAATGTTGCAAACTGAGGTTCTGGATTGAGGTTCCAGGGTTTTTTGGGGAGGGGTGTCTAGTTAATTCTGGTTAGTCATAGCTTTTGGTCCATTGGTCATAGCTCCCCACGCTGACAAAAGTTGCAGGTTCTTGTATGCTAAATTTTTACAATGTTAAAGAAATCAGTATTAAGCTATTCTGCAGGTCACATCTACTTCAAGTAAGGTCTCCTTCCTTTCACTACATTACTAGAAATTACTGTAGAGCTTTGCTGATACAGATGCTAAAATTTACACATATAATAGACATGATTCTTTGGTGATAATTGTTATTATTGGTTATCTTTCTAATCTGCACTAACCAAATTTTTCCTGGCCGGTTGCAAAGTTTTACTAGTTTACTGCCTTAACTTCTCACTCTAATCTGGACAAATAAATGAACAATAAGAAGGTGGGTTTTAATTTTCCCATGGATGTAATTTGGGGTCCATGGGAGAATTCATCCTTGTTATTTTTTCTCTGTGGGCATTTCATTCGGATTCCTTCAAATTCTCATGTGGCATTTTCTCTTCTTCAGATATGAAGTGGATGACATTGATGAAGAAGGAAAAGAGTAAGTGATGAAGGGATTGTTAAAGGCAGAGATGCACCGTGTCAGGCCCCAGAAGCTTTGAATGAGGCTCCCAGAGATTTCCAAAATCTTTATCGTAATTTCTAATGTGGTTGGGGGGGGATTAAATATATGTCAGTACTGCATGCATATTCACTTTATTTAATGTTAATTATATTTACATTTAAATGAAATCATATGTATGTTATATTTTGGACCCATCCCTGCTTTGGGGAGTGTTCCCCAGTCCGCTTCCCAAAATTCAGCTGTGTCCCTCAGCCCCCAAATGTTTGGGTCCTGAATTAAGGGGCTTGTGTGGGAAACCTGGGACACTACATCTACCCATCTTAACTTCTGCTTTTCCGCAGGCGTCATACCTTGAGCCGACGTCGCATCATCCCTCTGCCTCAGTGGAAGGCCAATCCTGAAACAGACCCCGAGGCCTTGTTCCAGAAAGACCAGTTGGTCCTGGCCTTGTACCCCCAAACTACCTGCTTCTACCGAGCCCTTATCCACACTCCACCTCAGCGGGTAAGGAAGAGCCTGTACGAGTTTGCCTCAGTAGATGGTCTCAGCTGTAGTCTTCTCCAGCTGGTGTTAGAGTGGCTCATGCAGGTCCATGATGTAAAAGCTGCTGTATCCTTCAGTCAGACCAAAGGCCCATTGAGCCCTGGGCCAGGGACTTTTAGGATACTGCAGGACTGAAGTGGGGAAGCAGTTAGAGAAGTGTAGGAAAGAACAGGAAGAAGGGGGACAGAAAAGGATGACGTAAGGCAGTGTTGTCCAAACTTGGCCACTTTAAGATGAGTGGACTTCAACTCCCAGAATTCCTGGCT